TCAGGAAAAAAGAAAGACCTAATATACCAAGAAACAATCCAGAAGAGCGATAAATAAGGAAATGCCCAGCTCAAAGCTCTCTGTAAAACAAGTCAAGAAGAGACTACATGTGACCTGTAGGTTCCCTCGCTGCTGACTGGTATATTAAAACACTGGGGAGTGTTCCTGGGCACTGGAATACAATCATCTCTACTGTAATGGTTTGGTTTGGTTTGTTTGTTTGTTTTTTTCTCAGAATAGCCCTGGCACAGTTTTTGTGTGGGCCAACAGCAAATAATTTTTTGATAGTTTGGGAGCTACCATAGGCCAAGGACTATTCTCAGTTGGCCACCTGTGTATGAACACCCCACATGCAAAGCTGGAAGAAAGATTCTAAGACAGTGTATAAATGAGCGCACCCAAATACTGGAAAACAGTATGAATGTTGGTCATCCAATGCCTCGGTGCTACCTAGTAGTTTCAGGGAGATAACATTTCCTACAATGGATATAACCATACAGATGCAGCCCAAAACTAAAGATGTAGTGAAGCTAAAATTGACTGAGATAGTCACACCACCTGATGCCGCAAGGACAAAGCAACAAAGAAGAAGAAATAGCTTGGTAATAAGTTTACAGTACCTTCAAAGAAGAAAGAACAAAGTATTCATACCATGCCATGATGCTATTTTTAGGCCATCCTAATTTAATTTACCTCAATAAGAAAAGGTTGAATCAGCAGATACTGTCACAGTGGGCTAGAATAATCTAGTGTCAGAGTCTTTTCTCATGGGTTTGACTGGGCACAGTCGTATTCACACAACCATGGCAATGCCATTACTGCACTCCAGCTCAGCTTTATTTGCCGTCGTAGAAAGGACAGGGAAGGGACAAGGGGGATGAGGCAGAGAGAATCACTGCCTAGTCAACCAGACTGCTGCATCCCAACATAGACCCAGACAGTAACTCTACTTGCCTTACATCCCCCTACTGCCATTGGCTTTTCCCCTGGCTGTCAGAATTTTGAGCGAAAGAGAGAAATGGGGTGAAGGAAGAGACAATGTTAAAATGTAATTTTCTTCAGGCTTTACATATCCTACCAAAATTACTCAGCTCCCCTTCAGTTCATGAAGTGAGACTGTCCAGCCTGTTAAGCATCTTTCTGAGCCAAAAGTAGATTAGGAATTTGGAAATAACCTTGGCATATATCCAAAGGACATGAAACTCTCTGAATGATTTGAAAATTATCCTAAATTTTGTGAGACAGTCTGTATACACTCACCATACAAAGAGGCAATTCCTCCCAGAGAAAACTGCAGCAGTATTATTTGAGAACTACAGACACAGGAAAGTATCTTAGAAACCTCCCAAAAATACACACCGATAACCATTACATGTATGAATAGATGAAAAGACCTTTAAACTAGCATAAAAACTTTTGCAAGAGCATCTAAGAATGTCCATGCTGTGGCAAATTGACTTTCAGCATAGCACTCTGTTCAGCAAAAGCTATCAGACACAGGAAGTGTCTGAAAACAGACAACTAGGAATTTCATGTGCCATGTCTGTGAAGGATGACGAGCAGATACTGATTTTTCACATCTGGGAACTCTTGATATTGAAAACCAATACTGCTTGCCATGGGAAGTGCATCGTAAACTACAGAATTACATAAATTGTGATGTCTATCTCAAAGTCACCTTACAGAAAGCTTAAAGCACCAAACATTTCAAACAAAACAAACCAAAACTAACAAAATCAAACCAAACCAAACACAAACTAAACCCACCATTCCAGCAAGGAGAAGAATAGTCTTTACTGAATACAAAAGACAGCACAAAGAAAGAAGATGAAGTGACAGTGGTTTAGGTTGCACATGGTTTTCAAAATGCTCTTCACAGATTTGCCCAAGATTTCCAAAATTGGTCACGTCTGGACCTCCAACAGGCGATTCCAGAAGGCAATGATATCAGAAGTGTTTATTCCAGATGAACTTGAATGAAATCTCAAGAAGCACCAATGAATGACATTTAAAAAGGGATGGCATCAGCACTAGGACCAAGGAAGCTTGCTTTCCTCAGGGTCTGTGTCTTGTGATTGACTGAGGGCTGCGGTCAAATTTTTTTTCCCCATGGTTAAAGCATTTGTAAACATTTGCTGCCATGTGGATTCTCTTTTGCTTAGTAACATGTGAGGCCATGAATGCCTTTCGTGACAGGATTTCTCTCAGACTTTTCTCTCCTCACACAGCAGGGCATATTTTCAACAAACTCACTGAAGCATCTTTCATCTTCCCCCCTTTTAGAACTTAGCCATCTGTCAAATTCATTTAAATCATCTGCAGAATTATGAATTGCTGGTGAGATTGGGGAGAGAGAGAAGGAACAAAGTAACGTGTATGTGCAAAGTAATACCTGAAGTCTCATTTCTTTAGCGACCTGACTACAAACAAGGACAATAAAAATCTTTAATAATAGAAGCATCACATAATCCAAGTATGGACACAGGTAGTCTCATAAGGTAAACATGATACAGTATTGTTTAAAATTATTAGAACTATCTACCTTTTTTTGAAATGTCGTTAAAAATCAGTGACCCTTCTTGGGGTGAACACTGGCCACATTTGTACCACAAAGACTGGAATGTCTGAAGTGTACATATGAACAGATCCAGAAGAAATCCCAAGTGCTGACTGATAAAGGATATCATGATTTGGATGAAACTTGCAAAACGACAATTTATTATTGTTGGTTAACCTCCCCTGGATTCAGCAACAGAGAAACTTCCAGAAATCATCCATTCCCTAAAAGCAACATAATAAAACTGCTGCAACATGGAAAAATGAAAGTCTCTGATTATCTTAAATTTGTCACTCCACAGCTTTTTCCCAGCTATAAGCTACAAGAAAGTCATCAAATACAAAGTACCTATGACAATTCCCACAGCAATGTCATCTATTCTGAGCAGACAGAGCATCCACTTAACATCATTTCTGAAAACCAACATGATATTTTTAAGAATTATGAATGTTTTAATAAATGAATATAAATAGGTCACTTGTAACTTTATGATAATGGAATTAAAACAGAAAAGTATCAATAAACATATGTTTTTATATATAAAAGTGTTGTTTATTGTAAGGAAACTTTAAATATAACCAACAATATTGAAAATATTGTGACTGGCATTTATGGCCTTGATTGCAGTTTACTGCCATACAGGTGATGTCTAGCATTTTTCTTAATCACATCAAGCTAGTGCAAAACATAGGTAGCTTTTAGAGTTTAAACACAGAATGACAGGAATGTAGATTATGATTACCTGATATTTCCTTCTAGAATAACAGGCTTCTGTTTTTTTTTTTCATAAATCAAAAGTACAAAGGCAAGTTATCATATGTGCAATTATCTATACCAGGTTTCTAGGTAAAAAAAAAAACAAACCTGACATTTGTAAATTTTGCTCAGATTGTATTTCATTAGGAATCTGGCTTATAATTTATACCATACTCTATGATATAAATTATATATTGTTATATAATCATAATTTCACATACGGGTATGATTATATGAATTGTCAGAACATATCACTAACTGTTGGATAATAATTACATCAACATACACAAATAGAAAAGTCATTATCTAAGAAGGAAAGATGTTATAATTCAGGTGTTTGAAACAGGGCACAAGCAGCCTTCCTATATTTCTTGGAGTATCACTCTGGCAGAACGGCTGCCAGTCACCATGATGTGCACTAGCTTTCCATGTACGTCAATGGATAGGTCAGTAAGCAGTATTAAAATTGGACTGTGCCTGAAATTTCCAGTCACAGACCCTTGTAAGCAATGAGCCCTGTGCTCTTCATTAAGATGATATTCTCTCTCCTCAGTCTCAGAAGGTATCCCATGCTAAAAAGATTATTTTATGACTACCTAACAGGTTTCTGAAAGCAGGACATGTTAGCTTTAACAATTACATACTTTCTAGATTTGTGCAAAGCTGTTGAAGTATTGGATCTTTCAAATAATAATAAAAAAAATTTAGTTCCTGATAACGATTTTTTAAGGACAAGCTTAGTTTAGCATAGCTTTTGTTTTCAGTCACTTCAGTAATTGAATCTGGTCTTTGATAGCTAAGATTAGACTGCAGGAAGAGAGATATACAGAGATCATTTAATTTGAAACAGGTAAAAGTTTTAAGAGATAAAAAAAGTGAGACCTAAAAAAAAAAAAAAAAGCTAGAGAACAAGCATAGATAGAGAAGACAAAATGCATAAATATAAAATGAGGAAAAAGGAAAACAATATAGGTTACATATGATTAAGTAGAACATGACAATAACCTATGCCCTTGCTTTTAAAGCGTTAAGGTTAGTTTGTCAGCTGTCCTCACTCTAGACTGTACAGAATACATTTAACTAATAAAAAAATGCAGTTTATTGCAAAAATATACAAGTCCTCTAGATTGCATAAGATATTACAATGTCGTGCTGAAACATGACAGTAAACAAAGGACTTTAAAACAAATTACAAAATGTTAAAAATCAGATTTGGGTCATGAGCATTACACAAAATGCATTGTCATGCTTTATCTTACGATTAGTCTTGGTGATTCACTACATCTGTGATAAATGCAACATAAAATCATGACAACTGTAATAGTCAGAAAGTAATATCTACTGTGTATCTTCTGTATCAATACATATAAACACTTTGTGTGCACTAATACTTTCAACATATCACATTCAAACTAACAGTCTTTCCAGAAAAGTTGTAACCTCTTTGAAGAACAGAAGCTGGTTTAACAAGTTCATCGCATGTGGGGTTTTGTTTTTTTAATCTACACCTTAAGGAAATGCTGTGTTAAAGGACTTGATTCTCAAAGGTGCTGTGCTACCTACCATGAGTTGTCTTAATGCCAGATGGAACCATCGGTGCTAAGCACGTTCAAAAATCAAGCCCACAATTTATTGAATTCCTGGTTTGTTTACTAGTATTACCGCTGTAATAAATCAAAAAAATACCCCCAAACCCACTTTTAAAATCACAGAAAATGCTTGGCATCTATAGGAAGAGAGACAATTTCTTAGTGGACTAACCACCACTGTGCTATATCCTCATAACAGATCTGGTCGCTCCAATGTGTATTTCATGCACTGGGATCAGCAATGTCCATGTTCGTTCCAAACAAAGCAACTAGCTGCTCTTCATAGTTTGCAATGTTTCTTTTCAGAATCTCCTTACAAGGTCCCAAAAGCCTTTCAAATGCCTGCACATCCATAACTAGGATAAAAAGGGAGAGAAAGAGACAGAATATAATATGCTTATCAGTTGCAGACACTAATCTTGGTGTTTATGACATTCCAATGTAAAAATTTAAATTATAACAGGACACCTATTACTGAGGCATATACTGTTTGCACAGAAGAGAAGCACTTACCAGAGCAAAACCAAGATCAACCAACACATTACTGTCTTGAAACTTCAGAAATAAACTTAAAAATAAGAAATGTAGCAAATTCTAAGATATTTTCATATTAAAATCTGCGCCACCCCAGAGCTGCTGAAGAAGTCTGAAGCGGCCTGGATTATTCCACAGAACATAGTTTTTAAGGTCTTTTGAGACTTAAAAAAAAAAATGCATTCCTTGTTGATGTTGTTTGTGCTCTAACTTAGTGTATTTCCTTGCTATTTTTACCTGCTTCCACCCACGGTGGATATTGTAATAGACAATAATTTCCCAGCAAATGTAGGAGAAGTTGGAGACTGTAATTCACATGCAAAGTCAATGTGCAGCCAACCCAAATTTTTTCTTTATATGATCGCATGGTATCCTCTATTGTTATAGCCAATGGGCCAGGCTATGTACTTCAACCAGCTTCCAACCTGCTGCCTGTAGTCTCTTGGCTCTTGAGAAAAATTCAAGATCTCTGCTATTTGGGAAGTGCCAGGGATCTTAGTGACTCACCCATACTGGGTAATGATACTCTTGTCACCACCGCATCTCATTCTTTCCTCTCTGCCATTCTTGATCTTTATTGTGTGATCATCTCAGTGTGTTTGGGGGTAAGGATGTTTAAAAATAATACCTTTATAAGTATATACCGTTTTACAAGTATATACCTTTTTTGGTTATTGGCTTGGTAATCAAACTGTCATTCAAGAATTCCCAATCTGTCTTTGCAGTTTACAGTTTTTGCATAATTAAGATACAAATATTTAGGAGCTAAACATTAGACCATGAAAAGCAGCATATGCAAAGTGTGGTCTATGAGCACAACTCCAATAGTCTTTGCTTTTCCTGTGTCTGAGACTACAGTGTGATGGAATGATTAAATTAACAGCTGGTGAAGACAAAGAATTTGTTAAAGCTTAAGTCACGGTGATAAAATGGGGACAGGATTTTTATCACAGTTGACTGACAACAGTCAGTCTACTGAGAAAAGAAATACCTTAACTTTCTGCAGCGTATTACACATTTATCTGATCGCTATACATGGTTTGCAGCAATACTCTCTGTGCTATTCTGAAACACTTCCTACTTCCATGGGATCAGAGAGACATTGGCAAATTTGTGTTTAATACCAGTTATCAATTGCAAATATTCTTTGCAGATAAATAATGTCAATAGGAATGCACAGTAATACATGAGGTATTTTGTCTTAATTTGGTAAACGTAATTAAATCCTATATTCTGGAGAAAGAGATTTCACAGTAAAAACAACCAGATAGATTATGTATAATTTTATATTATATGTAAAATGAGCAATACCTAAACATTTGACAGTGCCAAGAGCAAACGCAGAAGCGGCTCGTGGTTTGTTGGTTACAAGAGCAAGTTCTCCAAAATATTGTCCTCTTGAGCATCGAGCTATTTCAACTGCTCCATTCTCTTCTACATCTTGTTTACCCTGAAATATCAGATAAAAAAGAGAAAGGAAGAGAGAAAATGAGAGATTTGCTGAACTCAGGATTGCATAAGCAAAATTAGTAACAATGGTAGTGTTACTGTTTAACATTTAGAATGCATCATTATAAATAGGAAATTCTGTGGTTTAGGGATGTTTACCTTCCTTGTCATTATAATCCTTACTTCTCCAGATTCCACAATGAAGAAAGAATCTGCCAAGTCACCCTGTAGAAGAAAAAAAAAATAAAGTGAGTAAAGGAAATGTGAAATTTCCTTTTTAGTTTCATGGTAACATTGAAATGTTTGCCTTGAAGCTCACCTTTTTGATGACTTTGGCAAAAGAATCACTCTTAATGTGAAAACCATACTCACAGGCACATAATCAAAATATCCATACAGAACTGACAGCAAAACCTTTTTTATGAAAAGACATAGCTGACTGTTCCTTATACACAATGCAGAGAAAAACAATACTATGGAAGAATTTAGGATCCTTGGTCCTCTGCCTCCACCTTTGCATTCCCTCCCTATTACTTCCCTTATAGAGTTTCCACTATAAAAAGTCTCCAAGGGCTATCTGATATCCAATAATTATTTTGGGGCAAGAAAATCTCAGTTGCCTACCCTGAAGAGTTTACTTCTGCATTCTTATAATATTTTAACAACAAAACCAAGGTAAGTCTTCACTGGTCCTTATTGGACCAATATTCTTTTATATAGTTTAAATTTCTAAGTATACTAAAAACATTGACTCCTTGATTAGTATCAACAGAGGGATGTTTTGCAAAGTAACATAAATGAAAAATTAGCTGCTGTAACAAAATAATCACCTCTTTTAGATACAAGATATAATATTTTTGTTTCATCTGAGAAAGAAAAACATAGTTTAAAAGTATTTATTATCTATAGATAACATGGTAATCGTTACCTATTAGAAAACAAAAACTAGAAATAAAATATACCTGAGCAATGATTTGTTCTCCATCTTTGTACACTTTGGTGCCAATCACATCAACCACTTTTAAACGCTCAGATACCTTAATTTAAAAAAGAAAAAGTAAGAAATATTTCATTAGTGTTATAATATTATATGCAGGAAGCCCTTTCATATTTTTTAAATGAATTTTTGCACATAGCAGAGTATCTTTTTTTCCTGGTTTTATAGGAACTAAAAAAAAGAACTGTTGAATAGTGTTCCAGAGGGTATATTATACTCTTAACACCTAGATGTTTTGATAGAGTTTACATTTTTGTAAGAAGTCTATACATTCCAATTCAAAAATTATTTTGGAAAAACAGACATATAAAAATAAAGCTCTTAAAAATAAAAAGCAGAATTTTATTAGGTATCCACCCATTAAAATAATGCAAGGCAAATCTTACTTCTAAAGATTTAAGGAATGGCAATGACTCAATAAAATTTTCATACATTCTTCTCTTTTTGGCATTATTTTTTACAATGATTCTTCGGAACGTTACCCTGTCCTGTAAACGCAAAGAGAAAAAGGGAGCTTATTAACAGAAAATGAGCGTGTGGTAGAAAATATAAATGACTGAATATGTTCATATTACCCAATTTTAGTCACTCAGTTCAGCTGTCAAAGTAGCTGGATAGTCTCCCTCTACAGTCAGCTGAGAAAGATTCCTCTAGAGGTCATTCAAGAGCTCCTGAAGTTAAGCTCCTGATCTGATTCAGGTTGTGAAAAGCTTCTCTGCCCTTCTACAGAGAATATATGTAGAGTTCACACTAAGAGGGTAGAGTGTACCTTAAACAGGTCAGCTATACAATGAACACCGAGTGGGTAATTTATGATATTTAAGAAATCCTCAGTGTTTAAGTATTTCATTTACAAAGTTTTTTCATTGTCCTGAGGTCCCATACATATTGGTATGTACTCAAAGAGGTTTTTCTATTATACAAACAAACCCAAAATACATGGGCCTGGGTCTTAGGTCACCACCCATTTTCTGCTCTTTCAGCAGAACAAGACTCACTGCTGCCCTGAACAGCCAGCTGGGCATTCCTTAATATTTGGCCACCCCAGTGAAGCAGACAGATGGAAAAACTGCATATATGCTGTTTTCTTCTGTTAACTTCACATGACTGTGCCCTGGTGGCAGACAAGAGGTGAAATGCTTTGCAAGCCTGCACTCCTATCAGTGGGACTTGCTGGCCAATATAACCCAATCCAGTTTAAAGTGTCCTAAACTCTGCCATGATCCCAAAAGTCATGTAGATTAAGATGTTGAAAAATTATGTGTGTCACTTCAACAGGAAAATGTTATCTTGGAATCAATCATTAGATTGAGAAATACATCTTGATGATAACTATCCCAGTTTTAGTCTTTTGGTAAATTCTATTACTGTTGTAGATAGATCCAGATAGGTAACACCGATAAATAACCTCACGTTTGAATTTTACTCTGGAACCAAAGGTATTTCCAGTCAAGAGGTGGGAAAACATTTAATATATGTGTCTAAGTAATTGTCAAGTGGTTTGCAGTTTGGGAAATTATCATTCAAATAGAATAAAAGAAATTTTTTTTAAAAAAAAACAACTCAGTGTTTTCTCAAGCCATAGGCTTGACTCTGCAGTTTCTGGAAAAAAAAGACAGTATTGTGTTGGGAGTTCTCAGAATTTTAAAAATTAAACTTTCTGAAATGATCATTTTTTTTTTAAAGCCGATATAGTATACCAGTGCAATTTATATAAAAATAATTAAAACAAATAATATCTTTAAACAAGTATTTCACTTACCAAACCCCAGATGGCACCAGGAGAGGTAGCTATAATTGTAGCTGCTCTGGGTGTATTGTACATTAAGGCCAACTCACCAAAACTTCCTCGGTTATCATAGGTTCCAACACACCTTCCAACACCATCACATTTTACGTAAATATCATATGTACCTCTGTTGAAAAGATACATAAATACAGTGAGCAGAATCCATTGTTGGTCTTTTCTAAGCAGCCCCTCACTATGTTTTTTATACCGTGAATTTCAAAGACAAACCATTTGAAAGATACATCTGCTTGTTTAACTGATAATAAACACCTTGCAGAGGCATCTTAATCACTTCCATAAATAATAAAAGTAGTTCCTTGGTAAAGGGAAGAATAAGGTTTTTAGTTTTTACATTAACTGAGTTTAAAGATAAACTGGATGTACAGTGATCTATTGATCACCAGAACTTATTAAAAATAAAGATCTTACTTAGAAACTGTTTTTAAATTTCATTTTAAACACACCAAATACAAATGTAACAAGTTTTTGCAAAAAATTACTATGATATGATCACTGAAATAATAATACAAGTTTTTTAACATTTAAAATATTTTAAAGTAGTGATCTATAATGTAATAAATAGAGGAGATGCAGGAAACAGAAGGAATGCATGTGAAAAGCAACATTAAGATTATGAAATAAATGTATGTTTTTATCTAATATATTGTGGATTTCTTCTCCACAACATTAAATTAGTAACTCTTTTTTTGCATTGGGGATGCAGTACAATCTGGTATCTGGTAAAACATGACATAGCTATCCCAAATGGCTAAAAAACCCCAAATCACACCACAAAATAAAAACAGCCTCTGGGATCTAGCAATGCATAAAGAGGACAGGGACATTTCCATATGAAAAATCTGCCTCCTTTCAAAAATTGCTCTCTGTAACTCAGACAGCTGTACTGGTTCATGTGTGTTCTTTTTTCTCTCTCCCTTGCAAACTCAAGTAAGAGTTAAATAAAAGTAAGTAGAGAAATAGATTTTTTTCTCAATGGACTTTTGCATAATACGTTGTGCTACAATAAGACACAGCGGTTCACCTGTCAATGACATAGAAGTTGTCACCATCATCCCCTTGATCAATGACATGTTCCCCTCCTTCAACCAGCTTTTCAAACATTGCATCTAACACCTGAGACATCTGTTCCTATTTAAAAGAACACAGAAAAAGACAAGAAACTATCATCTGCTTTTAAGATTTTACTCTTCAAATTAACGAACTGTCCAGCCTCCCAATATGCAGATAAAAAATGTTCACAGATGGAAAATATTAATGCTACAGACATGCGTAGATAAATCAGAAAAACTGTTTCATTTAGTATTCAGTGTTAGCTGTTTCTTCTTCCAGTGGTCAAAGCCCAGCTTCCCTTATTGTCTCTGCTTATGATAACATAGACCTTGCCTGCAATATAAATTGCTCATGAACATCCAGACAGAATTTCACCCTTCACAATTTTGTAACATTATGCTGTTAAAAGGAAAAAAAATGTATCCCTTACTGCAAAAAACATGCTTACCTGTTTTTGTCTTTAGAACTATGTTACAGAATTTAAAGTTTTAAAAAGATCGTAATGTATTTTTAAAATCTAAATTATACAATGCCTGCACAATCATGAAATAGATGTGACCATGGAGGTCTGCAGTGCTTTGGTTGAGTAAGGAAATGGTGGACTCATTGGGAAGTAGGAATTTACACAAGGCTATAAAACTACTTTGTTAATTTAAATGGAATACAAATGTTTAGAGAGAAATGTTAACAGACTAACCAAATGTCATCATCTGAATTATAACTGTCTAATAGCAAAACATCACTAATTACATCATTTGACTTGTTTGGTGTAAAACTGCTAAACTTAACTATTCACATCTAAAAAAAGCAAACACAGCCCATTGTGGATTAACTATATAAATCCTGAACAGATGACTTAATTTAAATTTCATTTCAAGTTTATCCAGCAATATGCCTAAAATTCTGACAATAAACACAAAACTATCGTCTACTTTTTGAAACTTATTAAGTATGTGTCATGCTGGAATGAGCGGGTTCTAGTGAAAACCACAGTAAAGAAATGCCTGTAGATTTAGAACCCCACGCATTTTACAGTGATCCAATTCACAGTATTTCCAGCTACTGAAAGATGGCATTTGCCTTTGCAAACAAGACCAGCCTAAGGCATCCCTCTAGAGTCCTTCTGCAGCCTGTAGACAAAGGTAACCACACTAGTTAGATGAGAATCATTCACTTTCCTCTAATGATAGGGTGATCTACTCTAACTCACATTTAGACACTTCATTTTGAGAGAGATAATAGGTGGAATGAATCCATCCTTATTCTGTTAAACTTCTTCACTTACTCAAAGATTTTAAAAATATCAGCAGTACCATGTTATCCAAGCCTTTTTAAAAAATGGAAGCTAAATACAATTTTACTTCACAGAGTTCATTGTGTGGAGCCACCAAGAACAACAGAATGGCAGCACCTGTCTTCAGTGCAGCTGATCATTGTAAAATACAGTAAGACATCATGTAGCCTACGCAGGCCAGTAAGGAACGATTTAACTATGTCTCTAGCACCTTTTTTAGTATAGACAGGTATGTATTTGCTAAAAGAAGGATCATTTTACTATGTGTGAATGTGCTCTAATTCATCTTAGAGAACCATAAAAGTGTGTGTACCACTGGGAGAGACTGAAAATTAGGTACAGAAGTTACTTTTTAAAAACTTTCATGCTTACGTTAATAGGTAATAGTCTTTTCAGTTCTCCTTGTGTGAACTAAAAGCACCTCCTACGTAATCTGCAAAACCGACCTTATGTCAGTTGTCTAAAGCATTTGAAGCAGCACATTCCCTTCCTCTTGCTTTGCCTCTGAATTGGTAAAGTGACATGCAAAATGCTCCACAGTTTATGGGAGGGTGGAAGGTATATGTTATCCTCTAAATGCAATCAATGCAAGAAAAATGTATTATATGGGCCCTGATCCTTGGAAATTAAAATAATCCAAAGACATCTTGGAAAAAAGATTAAACTTTGTTTTTTGTGGTACTGAAAGAATAATGCATATAATCTTTATTCAGTGTGCTTCATTTCAAATTTCAGGCTAAAATATTTTCAATCTCATAATTATGAATCAGGCTTACCAAAATACAACTTTTCTATCAGGTAAATCTATGGGCTTTTTTAGACAACAGACTGGAATCCACAAATACAATTCCCTTATAAAAAAATGTTAGAAACACGTGAAGGCAATTTAATACATTTGAGAGCTGTCTATCAATCAGCTGAAGTATTGCACATGTATTTTAGCTTTCTAAATAAATTGCAACTAAGAGATAACCAGGCCATTTCCCAAAGCTAAAATTAAGATAGAGCAGACTGTAATAACCAAGGCATGGTTTTTTTGCTTTTAGCATGAGAACCACAAAACTTGCTTGCCAGCCTGCTCTATGTGAATCCTCTTGATTCTCTTCCAGACTGAGGATTAAATTACTGGCACCCTCTGTAGTTACTTTGAAAGGATAAAGATGAGTAATTTCAGAATTAAAAAATAGATCTGTTATCATACATAGAATTAATTCTAGTATTTTGTAAAACAGTGCAGTATGAAAGCTTTTCTTGCTTAAAGCAGTTCTAGCTTTAAAAAAAATACATACAAAATGAAAACAGGAAGAGGTTTTTCATATCACCATTTGTGAATCTGCTATGTGTAATGCTGTGGCAATCTGTTAATATTCTAAAGAATGATACTTTAAAAACATGATAAAATTTTAAACAGAAATTTATAAAGAATCTGAAGTATTTAACGTCTGTTGTTCAACCTTTTAGACTACTAAAATTTCATTGTCTCAATACATTTTTTCTAATATAATAAAGCATCTTTCTTAAGGATAATAAGGGATAATATACAAATACAAAGAACAAAACTAAAGTTTAAATTATTATAAATTTTATTGTTTATATGCTTATTTACATACTCTGATTAATTCATGCAATGGATATTTTCTTTCCCTTCTAAACTGTGAAGCATGTAAAAGCTTCAAAAAATGAACATTTTTGAGAAAAATATGGGAACCTTGGGTTGTTGCCATGAAAACACTTTGATCACTGTCCTTTGTGACAAAGAAAATATTTTAACTTTCTTAAAAGTTAGCAGGCTGAATGGAAAAGTCAGGTTTTTGAAAGACACATTCACAATACAAACCAGATAGGTCTATCAAGATTTTGCTTTTATAAAGATTTTTTTTTTTTTGAAGTGTAGTTACTGGCATTTCTAACAATTGGACTTTAATGACAGAGTGTCATTTCACAAAACAATTTACTAGACAAGTGAATAAACATGCCACAGTTACAGCCACATCACTGTCTCATTCACTCTTGCTTTCAAGCATGCATTTAACTGCTAGGAAGCAATTAGCTCCCTTATCAGCATCAGCCAGCATGATCTATCCTCATATCACCTGAAGTCAAGATGATATGGTTTTCTTCCCTCTCTTAGACCAAGATGTTACCTACCCTAGGTTTTATACCAACTTAAGTGAACTGTGCTGCTAAAGTTCTTTGGCATATTTATATCAGTCAGAATCAGAAACTACAACTATGAAGTAAAAACTCAACAGGACCAGAGGATGGACTCAAGCACTGACATGGTATAGTCTGGGCTGGTTTGCTCTTGACACAACTGTCTGCACAGCTGGTACTGTTTTGGCTTCTGCCAACTACCACTTCTCCTACAGACCCTGGTCATGACTTGGAGGAGAGCTTGAGCCAGGGCTACTTCCCAGTATAAGTAAAACTACCTTGGTTTGGTGAGGCTAGGAGGAGAGGAAGCTGCAAGAGAGTTTAGCTGTATGTATACATGCCATGCTGCACTGCTTGGCCTCAAGGACAGACAATGTCCTCTGCTACAGTTAGTGGTTACCCATTACAGAACTGAAGATGTGACAAAAATGGAAAATGTTAAGAGTAACATAATCTACTGCAGTCAGTCAAATCTGCCCTTGGGCATCCTTCTTAATTTCTTGACAAACAAAATCTGTTTCTCTAGTCAATCAAACTACAATTTTTCTGTAATTAAAGCTTTCAAAACACTGAACTAAGGAAACATTGATATGAAGGGCATGTGACTATGACTGATAATGAGTAAACCCAGCATGCATTAGCTTTCTAGTCCCCAAACATGTAAATTAATGCTACAACCTCTCTGAGCAACCTGTTCCAGTACTTGACCACCCATACAGTAAAAAAGGCTTTTCTTACACTTAAACAGATAGTTTTTGTATTTCAGTTTGTGTGCATTGTGTCTTATCCTGTCACAGCACCACCTGAGAGCAAGTCTGGTCAACAGATTGGTGCCTCTTGTCTCTTCAGTGCACTCTTAAAGCTGTTGTCAAACTCCTGTTTGCCCTGTCTGATGCTGTGCAGTCCTTATCACCTTTCTCCAGCTGGCAGCTCGGCAGTCTGACCACAGTACATCTCCCACATGCGAAGCCACCACTGCTGCCCTGTGTTCAGGAGAGACAACTGCCACTTCCATCAGCCTGAGACTAAGATGGTCCCATCCTACCTATGGATCTAGGTTGAAACCTCTAGATGTGTCATGGGTGGCTGGTCCAGCTGGCGTTAGGGAGCACTCTCTGTGGCCCATCATCACTGTCACTGCACCAACTCTAGCAGCCCTACACTATCTTGTGCACTGTTTCTAGTTCCCCTTCAAACGCCCATCTGCACAAACTACCACAGCTGCAAAGTCTCTGCTAGTTTGTCCTCTGCTGTGCGTCGCAAGCTCTCTGTCCTCAACAGCAGTTACACAGATGCTATCCATCAAAACTTCACTAGGAGCTTGATGCTCTCTGACAGTCTTCATGTGCTACACATTCTTATACTCTACACACTTCTGGCAAGACATAGTTGCCTCCTCTTCACCTTTAGCCCATAGTGGCCACATGAACCTCTAGCATAAATGCAGAACTCTAATGGAAAAAAATACCTCTGGTAGTTACTATGGCACCTATGAACAGCATAGCACCTAAGCAGAAGTTTTATGAATCATTCTGTTAGAGTTAAGAAATATTTTACTGTACCTAAAGTATTTTACTGTACCAGCTATGCTTAAGTAACTAAGTCTGTGGTGATACTCATGCATAAGGCA